TTTCAAGGAGCACCTCATGGCATCCTCCCCCTAACTCCACAGTGTGTGTGTGTGTGTGAGAGAGAGGGGACTCCTGCAACATTGTTGCTTTTTTTGGTAAATTAAAAGGAAAAAATTAGAAAGAAATCATATTGAACCACCTTTTGCCCCTTTAGCATTGAGGTAAGTGGCTATAGGAATCAGCCCCTTTTCCCTCTTCCCTTTGGGAAATAGTCTAACTTGCAAGAGATAACTAAAATCAAAATTTACTTCAGAAAAGAAAAAAAATGTAAAAATCCCTTTTTAACCTTAAGTAATCACTTGCAAACCACTCAGTGGCAAAGGAGATAGAAATAGAGAACTGTTAAAATCACAGATGGCAACTTAAAAGGATCTCCCATAGAAAAAATATAAAGGAAAAATATAAGGCTTTGGGCAAATTGCAAAATGATGCTGGTCTGGCTCTAGAAGCAACTCTGCTGTAAAGGGGTTCCAAGTTGCATAAAACAACAGTTACTGAGCTAGTGTGGAGTAATAAGTACCAAAGACAATAATGCTTAAATAACACAGAAAAGAAATAAAGACTTAGATATTAACATTTTCTGGCAAGACTCTTTACCCAGTTTACTTATCCTAAAGCAATCTTGTACTTGCTTCCCTGAACTTTTCCAGCTTATAGATTCCAGCCTTTAATCAGAGGCTCAGGAAAATGATGTACTTCTCTCTTTTACCTAGCCATAATGCTCAGCTCCTGCCTCCTTTTAAAAAGACAAAAATCCAACAGAAAGAGGTTTATGAGTATTCTCCTTGCCTATGTGATCCTAAGCCATGCCTCAGCTTGAGAGTATTGAAACTCAAATGTAGCTGGCTGTCAGAAAATGTGGGGTGGGCCTTGCCTGTCTATTCGTTACAACTTCATGTAGTAGCTGCATCTTTTTTTGGAATTGCACAGCTGCCCACTACAACTCACTTGATTTCAGGAATTACAGATATGTACCATATAAGCTCCAGAGTATCTTTTTGTCTTCAGATCTGAAAAGCAGCACAGCTCTCTTTACTATGAGTTGGTATAAGTAGAAGGAATTTCCATCTTTAATAGCTTCATTCTGTAAGGCTGAGAATTATTTCCCTCAAAATTTAATTTAATTTATTGGATAAAGGTGCTGCCTGATTCCAAATGACTCTGGGCAGCAACAAAAAAAAGTATTCTATAAATAAATTTTATAAATAAATAACTGGTATTGGTAACCTTAAGCTTTTAAAAAAGAAAACCTGAAGATTAGATTAACTTTTGGTTTCTAAACAATATTTGACAAAGGACTATTAGATTAACTTTTGGTTTCTAAACAATATTTGACAAAGGAGTATCACAGAAGTGTATGAAGTTACATGAAAAGGAAGTAATAAATGCTGTAGAGAACAGTGCAGAGCGATTAATTTGTTAAGTGTGCTTGAGAAGGTATTTGGCAGCATTCTGACTGAAATGGTATGAGAGGTGACAATAAGCAAAAGTTGAGAAGTGAGGTGTGACCTTACAGCATGCAGTCCAGATTTTCAATTGCTCAGCAGGTCATTGAGAAATGTGGGAAGGAAAGTTTATTGAATTAATGTGAGTGTATGATAAAGTTAATACACTTCATTTTGGACTGTTTTGCTTGAATATGGAGTTGAAAGTTGTTTGCTGAACATGATAATAATATATGATGCAAGTAAACCGTACAGTAACAATAAAGGAATGCTTAGTAAATGATTTCGCATTGAGTAGGAAGTAAGGCAAGGATGTATGGTATGCTCTTAGTTGTCTTATTTCATTATTTATCTATAATGAATTTATAGATAAATATATAAGGAATGCTTGTGATAATGGTGTGGTATCAGCTAAGACCAAGAATGATTTACAGCAGATGCTAGATTGCATGATGCAGTGAAGAGTGCGGATATGAACATTAATGGATTGAAGTAATTATGTAATTACTGTAATTATGTTTGACCAGGAAAGTTGAATGAATTATGACCCAAAAACTGTAATAAATATATGAATGTGTGTGCCTTGGTAGAATGTTTAATAAAGGAAGAAAAATGGATGGAGAATTTTTAATATATGCAAATGCTTATAAGAAGGTACTGACTAGTGTACGGTCTATTGTGAGGAATTAATGTGTTGAAGAAAGTAAAAGTGGCACCGTATCTGCCTACTTGCATATATAGAAATAAGAAACATCTGAAGAAGCATAAAACATGGGAATGGAATATTTAAGAAATGTGTAGTATGTGTAGTAAAACCTGCAGAGGTGGGGTTAAGAATAAATGGGTGCTGAATGAATGTGAATGAAATACAAAATGGAGTAACAGGTAGATTGAGGTGGTTTGCAACAGTATATGAAGTGTGTATGGATGTGATAGAAACAAGATGGTTTGCAAGAATATAAAAGTATAGAGAGGCACAATGAATGAATGGATTTAGCAATTTTTTCCTTTTCTTTTTTACCTTATGCCTTTAATTTCTCTATCTTGGTGTTTCTTATTCCACTTCTGCACTTTGCATAACACCATTTATTCCAAAAGGGAAAAGTAATGGATAGTGTGTTCCTTGATCAATGAACTTGATACAATGTCAAGCATCAACAAACTTCAAAGAAAACACAACAAAACTATTCCTAAGGAAATTCAGCAAAGTTATTTATGCCGATGAAATGAATGTGTTGATTCTTTCTCAGTGAAATTTATTTTGTCTCCTCTGATTCTGATCTTTCAGTGAAATTTTCAGGATATTTAGAACATATGGACAGACCATTTGACACAAATTGCTTTAGGAAGAACCCCAAACTCATGAAACTTGGTGACGGTAAGTGAAAGATACATGGTTTGGTGGGTATAAACATATTTTGTGTTCTAATCTAATCAGTAAACACTTGCATAGACATCTGGTCTAATGCACTGTAACCTTTTATCGTCAATATGTTCTCCATTGTCACTTCTTGAATTATTTTCTATCACCCCTGAACAAACTAATTGGCTATGTGCTCTTTTGCCATCTCTGTGTTTTCTGCATGATTTTCCTGTCTTCTGCAATCAGTTCAAAATTAGTAATGCAATATGGAAACTTTCCTAGATATTACTCTGTGGGGCATGGAAGTTGGATTACTGACAATGAGAAAAGGAGAGTTGGCAAGATTTCTCTTCAAACCAAATTATGCTTTTGGAACTTTGGGTTGCCCTCCTTTGATTCCTCCCAATTCCACAGTCTTGTTTGAAGTTGAGCTTTTGGACTTTCTGGACTCAGCAGAATCAGACAAGTTCTTTGACCTGCCTCCTGTGAGTTGTTGAATTTATATCTAATAGTCTGAATTAGTACCAATTACATCTCCTGAAATAAGTTAAAGAGTTTTTGAACTGTAAGTTTATATAGCAGTGTTGCTTATGAAACAGTGATTTTTAACAAGGAGTTATTGAGGTTGGAGCTTGCTCTCTGCCATGACTATAGAAAAGGTGAAAGCATTAGATTTAGAGGGCAGCCATTTGAAGGGCCAAAATAATTAAAGATAAGGCAGCTTCTCCTGCATCTGACCTGTGGTAAAAATCAAATGTGTTGGCTTTACATTCAATCTAAGAATGGGTGAATCTTGGCAGTTTTGTTTTCGTGCATACTAAGTGTTTTCTTGTTTGATCTTAAGTTCTTCCCATATAGTTTATGAAGAAAAATGTGGATTTTGACAACACTAAGAAAAATGTGCCAAACAAAATTATCCCCTATTTCTAGCCAAGATACAAAAATGCTGATCAGTCTTTCATACGTAGTGTCAAATCTTGCATTTTTCTTTTCCATTTAGCTATATGGAGGAGGGGACTAGCTTAATGGGAAATAAAAAATCACAGATCAGCCTAGATGCTTGTTAGCTTTGCTGCTGCTGTTGAGCGGTCAAGTTTTCTCTGCGCTTTATGGAATTGCCAAAAATGGGCATTTACAGGTGGTCCTTGGGATACAACCACTTGTTCAGCGACTGTTCAAAGTTACAATGGCACTGAACAAGGGGGACTTGCAACTGGTCCTTGAAGTTGTGGCTGTCACAGCGTCCCTGCAGTCACGCGATCGTGATCCAGGTGCTTGGCAACCAGCTAGCAATTACCATGGCTGCAGCATCCCATGGTCACGTGATCATAATTTGCCAGCTTCCTATAAGCAAAGTCAGTGGGGAGAAGGGGAAGCCACCAGGAGGTGGCAAATTGCTCCCACAAGTTGCTCCTACTCCTGCTTTTTCTCCCAAGGAGCCCCCAGGCGACATGAGGATCTCATACTCTGTAGCTCCTGTACTCTGTAGCACCCACCCACACTTCATAACTCTTGCCCACCGGCCTGCTTGCCTGGAATGCAGTTTCAGTACCTCTTCCCATGTCAAGGTCACATGAAGTTCTCGCTTAACAACCTACACGGTACTCACTTAATGACAGCAACTGGGACTGCCGGGATCATGCTTTACGATCGCATCGCTTAGCAACAAAAATCCCAGTCCCAACTGCCATTGTAACCCAAGGACTACCAGTATGCAAAATTGGAGATTAAAGGAGCAAGAGGTTGGTGACACAGTTGAGATCAGGTTGAAATTATGGAAATGTCTTCATTTACTTACTCGCTCCTTCCTGGTATTATACTGGTATAAGTTAATGGTGGTATACAACTTCTGGGTTTTGAAAACAATATAAATGTGAAGCAACATTTGCTCTTCTGTCTCCTTATCCATCTGCATTAAAGCAAGGAATTAATGTATAGCTAGAATTGTATGGCTAGATTTTAAAGCCCTCTTTGCATTTTTTTCCTTTGCCCTTGTGAGTTGCAACCCATCCCTGTCTAGGAGTGCTATATATTAATGACATAGGCCACAGTCTAAGAATCCAAAAATTTCTTGATAACTCAGGTTTTTTTATCCAGTTGTTTACTTCCAGATTTTCTTGTCCTCTGATCATCAGTGGGGCAGATTGAAGAAAACATCACTTGTGCCCCAAATTCTTTCAACTTCCTACCATAGCTTTGTAGGCACTTGAGGTCTTCTGAAGGTGCACTATAGATCAAACTGTTCCATGCAGCTTTGATGTTAGCTCAGTCACTGGGATCTCTAATTAAAAGAATTGGACTGATAAAGAATTTCCATCTTAGATAGCTGCTAGTAGTGAGGATAGATAATATGGGACAATTCACAAGGTAGATCTATATCTGCAAGCTAAAGCAGAGGAATCTCTCAGTTTTGTTGGGCTGTAAAATATATATTTAATCAAACTTACAGGCTGCCCCATTCACAGTCACAACTCTTTAGTGATTTACAAATTGTAAAAAAATTAAAATAACAATAACTTATAAAAGTATTACCAAGCACTCCCATCAGGGAAAATAACAAAGCCAATTACAACATCATAAAAGATACATTTCAGGGAACAAGATCACAGCCCACTCTATTCCAGAGCCTACTGAAACAATCAATTCTTGTAGGGTTTGTGCCTTATGGGTTTCAGGGGAAATAATATTCCATAGGGCAGGTACACCCATGTAGAACCAAGCCATGCAGCTTCCAATACAGGTAGTCCTTGCTTACTGACCATTCAGCGACCATTCAAAGTTATGACAGCATTGAAAAAATAATTTTATCGCCCATTTACAACCATTTACAACCTTCACAACGTCCCTCAGTCTCGTGATTGCCATTATAGTCAGTACGCATTGTCCTGTGCCTGACCTGTGGTTTGCTCCCCCCGCTCGCAGAACAGAGATTGGAGAGAAAGATTTCAGGAGAGTAACCTGTTTGCTCATCTGCACATCATGAGCAATGCGATTGTGCCAGCAGCGGGAAAGGGTCAGGCGAAGGAGAGATTGCCTACAGAAATCACTTGAAAGAGATTTCAAAAAAATAAGCTGTTTGTGTAGCGTACCTGCAGCTCCCAGTCCAGGGCTGTGGTGGTGGTCTCATTGCTTTCGATGTGTACAAGACAGTAAGCAGGCACTTGAGCATTCCAAAGGGCAGGGGAGCAAACAAAAGCCAAAGGTGTGAAACTGAGTAGTCTTGTCTCTTTCAAGCTGGAAAGCACAGTTGCAGTCACGTGATTTCCCACTTAGCGACCACTTCACTTAGTGGAGTTACCAGTCCCAATTAGGGTTATTAAGCAAGGACTACCTGGTATCTAGTTGTGGTGTAACTCTGAAACCCCAGAAAGAAGTAAGATATGATTTTTCTGACTTCTGTAAGGACAAGACTTCCTAACTTCTGGGGCATTAGAAAAATAAAACCAAATTCCCATGTGATTCCAATGTTTCCTCATTACATTTGTTCTAAGGTGAATGTTACTAATTAAGCTGCCTTTTGATATCCTGTTTGCACCTATAATCTTACTTACACATTTTCTATGTTCCCCTTATTGTACTATGCTGTAGCTTCTCGTGTTCTTTTTCTTCTCTTAAAATAGTTGCACTTTCCAGCCTCATGACAGATGTCAATCATGATTAAATTTATACTATGCCTTATATAAGCATAGAACAATAAAATAAAATAGGAAAAAAGGCAGCAAAATTAATGCAAGCCAAATCAGTAAAATCAGTTAGCAGTGATACCTTAGCAAAAGAGAGCAAAGGAGATTTTTTTTATCCTGCCTTTCTTATTTTTATAAATAGCTCAAGGTGGCGAACATACCTAATACTCCTTCCTTGTCCTATTTTCCCCACAACAACAACCCTGTGAGGTGAGTTGGGCTAAGAGAGAGTGACTGGCCCAAAGTCACCCATTGGGCTTTCATTCTATTTTCCCCACAACAACAACCCTGTGAGGTGAGTTGGGCTAAGAGAGAGTGACTGGCCCAAAGTCACCCATTGGGCTTTCATTCTATTTTCCCCACAACAACAACCCTGTGAGGTGAGTTGGGCTAAGAGAGAGTGACTGGCCCAAAGTCACCCAGCTGGCTTTCATGCCTACTTTTGTCACTTTCCTAAATGCTGGAAGAGTGTGGGCCAAACATACCTTGCTTGGTAGAGAGCATACCATAGCCTGGACAAGACCCTCTCCTAATGTCCAGAATATCACTGAGCTTCTGGTAATGGGGGATATTCAAAAGGGCCTCTAAACAACTGGGCAGGTTTGTAGTAGGGGAGACAGTCCCTCAAAGCTGTTTAGGGCTTTCAAGATTTAATTAGTATAGGTTTCCAGTGTAACAGTTCTACCTTAAACTTATCTGATAACCATTGGGACTAATCTCTCTGACTAGACTGTTGCTTCTCTGCTTAGGAACAACAGGATGGATTTCCACTGCAGAAAATATTAAAGGTAGCAGAAACAGAACGTGAGTTAGGCAATTACCTCTTCCGTCAGAAGCACTTCATGGATGCCAGGGACAGGTACAAGCGAGTAAGTAAAATTCAGGGACTAGGGGAGTGAATCCAGCACAACAATCCTGGGTTCCTACTCACACCTAAATTTATGGTTTGCCAGCATTTTCGAAAACAGAATGAGCTCTAGAAACTGCTGTTTTCTGGAAATTATTATAAAAAATAAGTTCTCAGACTTTATGTGTTATCTTGCAATTACTATGGTTCTGTCATAGTCTTTTAGAAGTACAAAGCTATGTGAAAAACCCATATACTGATTGGTTAGAGCTTCATTAAATGATGGTGACATTGACCAGAATCTAGAGTGGTTGGTTTTGATTTGATCATTTGTGAATGTTCTAAAGTGTTTTTCCCAAGTTAATAAGATTGGGGGACAGCTACATAGAAGAAATGAAGATGTGATCGTTTAAAAGTGCCTGTGTGGTATAGGGTTAAGGGGGTTCCAGAGACCCAGGCTCAAGTCCTAGTGTAGAAGCTCACTGGGTGACTAAGCCATTCATTCTTTCTCAGCCCAACCTACCTGAGGTTGGTTGTGAGAAAAAATAATGGGACCCCGTTGAGCTCCTGAATAGAAGGCAGGATAAAATTCTAATAAATACATAAATGTTTATTTGAATTGTCTCCCAAGTCAGCAACCAACACATACGACAGTCAGTGCATCTGTCTATTGCTATTTCCAGCAATTCTCTCTCACAAATCTTTTTGCTGAGCTGCCATTACTTTGTATAAGCTTATAATTAAATGTCTTATTTCTACTCACCAGGCTTCTTCAGTACTCAATCGTGTATGTGCCAAGGAAGCTGAAAAAGGCAAAGTTGATGCTGCCAAGCTTCTGGTCTTCCTGAACTTGTCATTTGTTTGCTTGAAGTTGGAACGTCCAGGTCGAGCCCTTACCTATGGTGAAAAAGCCTTAGAGTTAGATAAGAAGAATGCTAAAGCCCTCTTCAGATGTGGTCAGGTAAGGAGAGGGGGGTTTTCCCTTCATTTCATGATATCTGGCAGAAGCCTGAGGGAGGTTTTTTTTTTCCCTTTAGTGTCAAAGACTAGCTTTGCTTCCCGCTAAGAAATTGCCAGAGCTAGTTTGAGTAATGGAAACCATGAGCTAAGCCTAATAATTTATTACTTAGTGTGTGTTAAAATGTTTCAGCTGCTTCCGTCATTTTCTTACAGTAATTTCTTGGTGTTTTATACTGTAAAGTGACTGTAAGCTCCGCTGAAAATGGCACGACAATCCTTGTTTCAGCTCTAAAAGTGAAAAAAGGGTGTGAAAAGTTTCCCAGGTTTATTCACCCTTAGATTCTTAAGCCATGTCTATGAGTGCCATTAATATACTGAAAAGGTGAGATTTAAATAATTTATAACAGTAATTATGAAGAATCTGCTTTACTCTTTATAGACTGCTGACATGATGTCTCATTATTTCTGCTTTGCTTCTCTTGTACAGGAATCGTTTGGAAATTATGTTAATATTTTTGCTTTCCTATCTATTTCTAATCTAGTTACATCTGCTGACAGAGGAAGCCAAACTAAAGTGGTCAGGCAACAATCTAAATTACATGTCATTGTACTAATCCACAATTTATTAAAACAATTTTTTTCTTAAATCACAATTTTTTTTTTTAGATTTTTTATCCTGCCTTTATTATTTTTATAAATAACTCAAGGCAGTGAACATATCTAGTACTCCTTCCTCCTCCTGTTTTCCCCACAACAACAACCCTGTGAGGTGAGTTGGGCTGAGAAAGAGTGACTGGCCCAAAGTCACCCATTGGGCTTTCATTCCTAAAGCAGGACTAGAACTCACAGTCTCCTGCTTTCTAGCCTGATGCCTTCACTACTAGACCAAACTGGCTTTATTGGTGGGAATGCACAACAAGCTAAACCATGAACCATGGTTTATAAATCACAGTGGGTAGATCTGCACAATATTAAACCCAAGACCATGGATGCCAATATGTCTGCAAATATTTTCCTAAATACTAATAGTCCCTCTTCCTCATTCTACTTATTTAAAAATAATAATTTTAAACAACATTAAGTAGGAGCTAGCATTCTACATGAGAAAGTATCAAGTCACCAGAATCATGTTTATTTCTGAGAATGCCCTCGGATTCCACATGTTGCATAGATATTCTTAAAAAATAAAAATATTGAGTGACTGCAGTGCTTTGCTTGTAAATGTACCCAATTTAACATAGATAAGCAATGGTTGACCAGGAGTTTCCTAGGCTAGAGGGGGTGGGAGGAAATAATCTTACCAACTTGACTTTTGACAGATTAGTGTATTATGTCTAGCTATGTACTTTAGCTATTTTGTGATAATAAGTTTCCTCTCTCTCCACTGCATAGCTGTTGTTCTTTATGTGTCTGTGACATGTTCTCAAAACCTGATGTGCATAATAGCCCTAAAATGATGGGCTTTCTGATTTAGCACATTGTATGAACACTGTCATTGTGTGCAAGACTTCTTGCTTACAACCAATAAGGCAGAACTGCAAATTACTCCAGCTTGTGTGAACCTAGCTAAAAAAAAAGATATCCTTTACCTTTTTTACTCTTCAAGAGAAGTGACCAAACTGCAATTGCAGCTATCTGTATTCTGTATTCTTAATTTCCAGGCATGCCTCTACCTGGCAGAGTACGAGAGAGCCCGAGATTTTCTGGTCAAAGCTCAGAAACAGCAGCCCTTCAACCAAGATATTAACAATGAATTGAAAAAGCTGGCCAGGTGATGGAGCACCTGCTAATTTTGTAATGAATTAGCTGAATTGGATATTCATGCACTTACCATTTAGATTCGTGGTAATGGTCCAAATTTATTCCTTGCAGCTGTTCAAGCCTCATTATTCTTCTAATGTTTAAACTGTATCAGACTAAGCGAGCATACCAAATGGGCAGAAATAGCATTAGTCTGCTACAAAATGGGCTAAATCTCTTGAGATGGTGAACCACTGAAACATTGATAAAATGCCAGTATAAAATGTGTTTCAGTTGTCCAGAGCTTGGAAGCACTGCTTTTAGGATATGGGAAAGGTTCCCCACCCCTCACAAAGCTCCTTGGTGGTTTGTTACAGAAGTTCAGTAGGCCTTCATGATTCCCTCTCTGTTCTTTGCTAAGCCCAGGTTCACTTGTGTTTTCTGGATAACATACAGCTGGAAAAATGTATTTAGGCAGACTAAAATGCCTTTTCCCCTTATGTCAGACAGGATACGTTAATGCTGACTATTTTTCTAGCCTTTCAGCAGAAGGCTAGGAGGGGAGTTTGTTTATATTTCAAAATTAGTCACCACCCATCTCAGAGTGTGACTCTGGGCAGTTTATGGTAAAAATAAGAATAAAAACCAATTAAAATATGATAAAAACAGTATTCATAAAGAAATAATATATTCCCAAGATTCTTAAAGCTAAAGGTTCTTGCAAACCTATTCACAGGAGAACAGGCATGGTTCTGGTTGGCTTTTCCACAACTGACTCTTAGCAAATATTTTGCTTCTGCTTTACAAATTTCTGGAATTTCATGCTTAAAGGATAGTTTGTCAATTGATCATTTTATTGGTCACTGAAAATATATTAACATGAAAATTTAAATGATGTGCATCATATTCAGCTGTTAAATTTTTAAAATTAGTTTTAACTGATATGATCATTTATATTATCTTTATTACTTATAGCAGGTAGTAAATTTCATTAAATGATGTCAATATATTCAGCTGTTAGACCTCTGTTGTGGCTCCTGATGAATATTGCACTAAAGAAAGTCTGACTTTTCTTTAATGAGCCTTAAACTAAGAGCAAAAGCTGGCAAGATGCAGTTCTTGGTGTTATCAGCCATGCTCACGCAGTTCTCTAATTCCAGAGGAAACAGTTGCGTGCTCAGACTCTGTTTCAAAATGTGTGCTTTTTTAAAACAAACTGGTGGCATTCATGTGCTGAAACAATTTGCTCTAACTTGCAGCTGTTACAGAGATTACATGGTGAAAGAGAAGGAGATGTGCTGTAAGATGTTTGCCCCACTTAATTCTCATTCATCAAGAGCAGACTTGGAAGGTAATAGGATTGCTTGGGGAGCTGGAGGTGTTGGCTCTTATGTGATTCTGGATTGCATTTTGAAGATCAACTTTCTCTTACGCACGCACGCACACACTACACCTATTTATGCCTGACAATCGCTCAGGAATTTGAGCAGAAAAGATGAAGTTGTACTGTGCTGCCCCAGAAATCCAAAGCATCTTCCAATGGGAATGCAAAGATCAGACAGTGCGTTGCTCCTTGACAAGAGCATGCCATTCATTCATTCCACAGTTACTCAGCTATTAGACTTAAATGTTGCTCTGCTATCAAAGCCGTAACCCACCCCTACCCCATTTTGTTTAAATGGCTGAAATGTTAATCACCCTGCATAAGTGGGTAATAGTGTTTTCATTTTGTATACTTTCTTCAAATATCTTGGATAATTGGCAACTGCCCATTCTTACTGGGTAGTAATATTAGTCATGGCCATTTCCATAGTTTACTATAGCCAAATCCCAGTATAGACTCATCTAGTGGATTTCTTGGAACAGAGGTAGCCCAGGTTTGCTATACCTGACTACTAAGCCTGTAGACTAGGTTAGGCATACTGGTCAGTCATTGACCTTAGTTTGAAATTGTTGGTTATTGTTTTTTAATTGTTCATGACAGTTTAAGGAATAGTTCTAACATCTAAATTCTCTACCTGGAATTTGCTAGTGGAAGTAGTTCCAGGGAGAAGGCAAGGTAGTGCTAAATCTTTTTTAATTAGAGGTTTGATGTCAAAGTAAAAATAATGGGTGTTTTGGGTTGAGCTTGACTCTTGGTGATTTTGTGGATACATTCATGTAATTATCTTGGCAATAATACAGACATGTTTTTTCATTGGCTGCTTTCAGTATTTTTTTTTTTTACTTCCAAGTCTAATTTAGGATTGTTAATGAAACCTTACAATAAAGATAGAGCTAGTACTGGTTGTGCTTCAAGGCTAACATCAATCTGCAAGTCTAAAAGTACCCCTCCTGTCCCTCACTTTTACTCTCTCAAAAACTAGGGAGGGTCCTTTCTGAGATGCTTTCACCACCTCTCCTCCTTTGGATTTAAATTTCGTTTATCAGACCGTTGTCTAGGCTGCGGCTCTTCCTCCTGTCTCCCAAGATCATTCTCACATACGGTTACATCTTCAATCAATCAAGCGTTAAACATCTTTATTCCAATATTTGTGATTGTAAAATGGTGGGATTTGATTTGATTCTTAAATTTATGTTGACATAAATTTACACAATTAGGAGAGAGCTTAATTGTGCCTGTTAGCTCTGAGTAGGAAATATGGTTGCTAATGTACTTAGGTTAGTTATTCCTAACATTGAGTTTGAAAGCAAAATATAGGTTTTGGTGAGATATCCTGGTAGCAACATCCTGTTTTAGTACTAAGGGTACTAACAGACTAAGGGTAAATTGAAGAACTGGGTCTCAAGGGCAAAACAGTATTTGAAGGAAGGTTGCAACCCTGTAGTCCTTTAAGTTTAAAAAACAGTTTATTTTGGGAACTTGGAATGAAGACCACTTACTCTGTAGGAGGAAACCTAGCCTACTTTCCTGCCCACTCTTCCCTCTCATGGAATTTAAGGGACACATTTGCCTAATAAGTAAGAATTGAAAATGGAGCATGAAGGTTGAGAATTGCAAATGTGAAGATTAAACGCAAGCAAAGGAATGTGTTCATATCCATATCCAAGCCCCATTTATGGTACTTACCAGGTGATATGAGTTATATTTTGTGTTTGTAACTTTGGCTGTGAAAGGTATGTCTTCTGACTGAGTGTACATGATTATCCTATTAAAGTGCAGGGGAAAGGAGAGGCCAGCCAAAAAGTCTTCTGAACCTTCCATCCTCCCCATTATGTTACCCCTGATGTTTGCCACCTGAATGAATGCAGGAAAGTGTGCAAAGCTAAGAGTGCTAATTGCATTCCTGCTCACTCTCCTGGGTACCATGGGAGAGAAATCTGGACTGACAGTTGTGCCTATAGAGGTGGAGTATGGACAGTCATTGCTGTCTGCTTGCTCTCCTCTTTTTCTTGTGATGAAATATGGGATTGGCCATAAAAGGCACAGCTATCACTTCATCTCAGTTGTTACCTGAGTTCTATCTTTAGGTCTGCTCAGGGAAGTGTTTTTCTTGCTGTGTTGCTTAGAGAGTGAGCAAACAACAGAAGTTGAAACTATGCTTGCAGAAGTAATTGCAATCTTCACATTCTGCCTTGATGCGTTTCTTTTTGCAGCAAGGATTGGGGCCCTGAACATTGATACTCATCTTACCTCTCCCTCTAAAATATTCTGCTGACCTATGTATCCTGCATCCATTGTGCATTAATGGGTGAGATTACAAGTAGGGGGAGATGCAGGAGGAAGAAAAAGAATAGTGATTTGTTTGCTCAACCTCCCTGGGAGTTGCAGAAGATGACTGCAGTGAACATGTCTGCATATTCCTTTGTGATTTTAGTGGATGGAGTGGAAAGGTTGGCTTGTTGGCTCTATTTGCCACCATTACACATCTGGGAGGAAGGGGAGTGATTTCCTTTAGTGACCAATTTTATCTGTGCGGTACTAGCAAGACTGAAGAAAATGACAAAGGCAGTTGTGGGCTGGGGGATCAGTAAGAGAGCAGAGGTAGGAGTAACCTTCCATGTAACTTGCATACTCGCTTCTTGACTGTTCTGATCTTGCACCCTTTCCCTGCTTCTAGATTATGCAGAAGGGAAAGAAGAGAGAAGGGTAACCATACTGTTCATTGTTTGGTTGTCTCCCCTCATCCAGTTCCTTGCCTTTCCTTCAGAATAGAAGTATTACATATAATTAGATCTTCAATGCACTGATTTAAGGACACGGTCTCATGGTAACGCACTAATTTACAAAATTGTTCTATAATCATAAAATATTGTTTCTATAATTTGATGGCAAAAATACACAGTGATTAAGTCATTGTATTATTGGTGATTTCAGAATCTGGCTGTGCAGAAGAAAGGAACTGAACTTAAAACAGAAGGAAAACCATTTCATGATCCCTATGATGGGCATCTTTTTTTGGAAGTATATATGGAAGGGCTATACTTCATTTGAAGTATTCAGAATGGTGTGAATTGTATAGTTTTATATACAAAGAAGCACTGTATTTGCTGAGGCTTACATTTATTAGTGACATTTGGAAGCTTCTGTTGAAAAGAAGATTCCTTGTTGTGAAGAAAACTCTGTCTCCATTTAAACATATTGATAACTGATTACTTCGAGAGAAACTTGTTTTTCCTGTTCATTTCCTGCCCTCTCTAGGATTAGGGTTTCTTAGGAGGATGTAAGTTTGAAACCATTATGTTTTATGATTGTTTGAGAATGTTCTTAAAGAGCAATATTCATGATTTAGAAAAATAAATGTCTTGAGAAAAATGTCAGCATGTTTGGTGTCTATTTTTTACCCTAAATCTTTTGATGCACAGCACAGAAATGCAAAGACTCTCTATTTTTGCCTTAGGAAAACAATTTAGGGGTTCCTGTCTAGGGCATGTGTCAACAGGTGATCATTAAAAGTTGCTGTTTTATGCAGTGGGGGTGGGGATACTGTTTATTTCTTGTTTTTGTGAAGCTGCCTGGAGTGGGGCAGCCTAGAAATTTAATACATAAATAAAACTTAATATTATAGAACCGCAGATTCTTCTAGATATTCAAGCTTGGTGACTGTCATGATCTCTTACATTAATGCTGTTGCTACAGTACTAGTATTCCATTGGGTTGCACTGGCAAAAATGCAGTCATTTTTAAAATGTGTTTAAAAAGAACTGTGGATGGGCACTGATGGTATAGAGCTCTGCCTTAAAAGAAGCAGAATTGTAGGCATATTATTGTAGTACCAAGAAGGCTGTGAAAATTGGTGGCAGCAGGTGGCAGCAAATACCTTCCTAATTTGCTTTTACAGTTATAATTTATCTTTGCTTTAATATATATTCTCAAATGTATTCACTATTCTCTCCCTGTCCCTCCAGACATGCTGGTTCTACAAAACACTGAATGTATTGTGTGAATTTGTATCTGTAAATATACCATTTAAGTGAATTTGATTATTTAATGGATTAGCTTATTTTGAAGAACTGCTTTCAATTTAAAAAATGCAAAATGCTGGACTGTGTCAGAATTATTAAGTTGATGTGGGACATTAAAGGCTGAAATCTAAAGAATTTAGAGGGGATTGATAGAAGGTTGAAGGAAGAAAAGCATGCATAATGGAGTGAAATACCATTCTTGGGGCTACTAGAATTTATCTCCATTTTTTGTATATTTCCTCCAGAATCTCTGAGGACTAAAAACTTTAAATTTCTCTTCCTAAAATACTGTAATATGACATAGTGTATCACCGTACCACCCTAATCATGCAGTTTCTCAGCTCCCTGTCTGTTGGACATATCTAGATAATTTCAGGAAGTATAATGAATAGTTGCTGTCCTTTCTCTTAGTAAGGAAAATTTGAATACCTATACATTTTTTCTGCCTCAAACACTATCATTTCCCCAAAGATGTCTCTTAAATTATGTCCATCAATTCTCCTTTGCTATTTTTATGCTTGGAATTTCCACTGAGAGCCTCTGGGCCAACTTCTCCTACTGTACTTACTTACTCATTAGATTTGTATAGCCACCCATCTCACATATGTGGCTCTGAGTGGCTCACAACAGTTAAAAACAAATACAGAAAATATAAATAAACTCAACAAACAGGCAACCATATTAAAAGCTTCAATCTGTCCAGCTCAAGAAACATCTCTTATTTTGAAATCTTTAAATTCACACTTTAGTTCTCACCCTAATCAACATGTGCTTCAATTCTGTTTTATTCCTGCATGGAAGTTGCTTGGCTTTCTCCCTCTTATTAAAATTACATTTGTAATTTCCACAGAATGAGTATCTCACATTTTTCCCTGGTTGAATGTACAGTGTTGTTGGAAGGATGACAACCACATCATGTGTATGAAGTTTTTTGAATGTCTGAAGCTAAATATGGGAAATTTAGGACAGATCAAAGAAATACTTTACTCAGTTCAGTTAGCCTGTGGAATTGGCCACCAGAAGATACATCCTCGGGTCCTGAAGAAACGAACAGGTGATCATAGAACTGCTTCATTAATCTTTGTGAGCTGGAGAAGTGGCAACATCCTAGAAGATTTCAGAGAAAGCAAATATCTCCAAAAGGGGAAAGTAGTACCCAAGAAACCACAGACCTGTCAGCTTGACATCTATACTGAGCAAGGCCCTTGAACAGAATAACAGACTATCAAACAACAGGTTTGTGAGCCCTTGGATAAGCATGTTACAGGAGATAGTATGGGTTTGTTGCAAACAAATCATGCCAGACTAAACTTACCTCCTTTGATAGGGTTATTAGCTTTGGAGATCAAGGGAATGCTGCAGACATATCTCAGCAAGTCTTTGACAGAATATCTCATATTAATAAGATAAATATAGATTAAATGATACTATTGTTAGAGGGACTCACAATTGGCAGTAGGACTACCCAAAGCGTTCATTAATAACTCCACTTCAGCTTGGAAGGAATTATTTATTGAGAGCAGTGAGTTGAAAAGGATGAAATTTCATAGCAATGTAAAGTTCTGCATCTGGGAAGAAAAAATGAAAGGTGGAAATATAGGATGGGGGACATGTGAAAAAGATCTGAGAGGTTGACCACAAGGTGTAATCTGCTAGCAGTATGATGCAGATTTTAGAAGCAAATGCTATTTTTTCCTCAATATGTATCCTATTCTCTCTGAGTCCAACTACGCTTGGTGTGTATCTTATTAGATGAGCAGGAAAGCAGGAGCGGGGGGAGAACAAGAAAGGAAACATCTATCAATCACAACTGCAAGGCTAGTACAAATCTTTATTTCCTTCAAAAAACTGACACAATGAAACAAAGGTACAAGACCAGAACTAAGTGTGAACACTTGTGAGATTCAGCAGAGATACCATGACCTGTATATAAAAAATAGAATGTGATGTTAAAATGCTGAGGCTCCCCGACAAAGAGGCTTTTGGAATCTTTCAGCTCCCTTTCATCCACTTGGCCAGCCAAGAAGGGTGCTCTCTTTTATCTTCTCTCTACTTCCTTTTTGGAATGAATATTGTGTGTATGTGAATGGATGTGTGTGTGTACACGTGCTGCTGCTTTGTTTGGTGTGATCTTGGCAGTATGCTTTGACATTGCATATAAAACCCTATATATTTTGTCTCACTTAACAAACATAAAATCCTGATCATAGGAAGTAATTGCCCCATTCTGTTCTCAGTTTCCACTTGGAATATTGTCAGCAGTTCTCGGCACCATTGTTCAGAAAGGACGTTGACAAATGGGAGTGAGTTTAGAGAAGAGCTACTAAGATGATGAAGGGTCTAGAAATGAAGCTCTAAGAGGAACAGTTAAAGGATGCGATATGCTTAGCTTACAGGAAAGACAACTGAGAGAAGCTACGATGGCAATCCTCAACTCTGGTGGTCACACAGGAGGAGGAAAGAACTTACTCTCCATTGCCCCAGAGAGCAAGGTCAGGTGAACTACAAGGAAATAGATTCAAGGTAAGTATTAGGAGGAATTTTGTGACAGCTGTCAAGCAGTGGAATAGGTTGCCTCATGAAATGGTATGCTCCCTTTCACTGGAGATCTTCAGGAAGGTCATCTGTAAGAGATGCTGGAATGGAATTTGCACTGAGCAGGGGATCAGGCCAGATCATCTCTAAGGTCCCTTCCAACTGTGTGATTCTATGATGTGCTATCAGAACAGTGCATATAGTCCACCTTCCCTTAAGTGCTCAGATACAGATGTTACGCTGGAGGAGGGGGGGCTGTCTCAGTTTTTACATTGTATATTCTGCGTGGTGTTTTCAGTTACATTTACTCCCTGGTGGTCCACATATATGCTAGGCACCAACTGGCATGGTTTTCAAGGGGAAGGACCCATTTTTACAAGGTAAGTGGCTTTTAGTCACCTTGTCTAGAAGATTGCCCCAGATAACAGAGACCACCTATGTTGTGATTGTAACTCTCCCTCTCCGCTTGCCTTTCATTGGGTTGGTAACGGGGAACAATGAATGTGATTTGGGTCTGATCTTTCCCAACACCTAGGTTCTTATGAAAGCATAGCTTCCCCATCAGCATAGCTCCTGAGTTGTAAACAAGGAGGTTGCCTTTAGCTTCCAACAGAAGCAGACTCTCAGCTGTTTCAACTTCTCTGCCGCCCTTACTGCATCTGGACAGAAAGACATGGGTACGTTTTCTCTGCAAAGGCTGCTGCTTTGATGTTATTGGCAGCCCAGACTGAAGGCTAGTGGAGAAGGAAGAGGGCAACGTTTTCTAGAATTCTGTTTTGTGCTGGGGTTCCAGCTGAAGTGCTTCTGTAAAGATGCCGGTTGGCACCTTTTAGCTTTCCTGAGTTTTTCTTTCCTGGGGGGGGGGTATGTGAGGAAGAGGGGAAGATGTGAGGCTGGTTCAAATGTTCTTCTATGCTTGCCCTTGAGTTTGTGTTGGCAAAGACTGAGGAATGAATGCTGATTTAACTGGCAGTTGTTGTTCTGTGGCCAGGCATTATGAAAAGGTTTTCTGTCTCTTCTAGGTTAACGCTGAATATTTTTCTTCTTAATATACTGTTCAGTTCATTATTAGCTGAAAGAAACTCTTTTTTAAACTTTTTTTTTTTAAAAGCCTCCCTTTTTTTCTTTTCCCACTTCTCCAAAAATATATAAAAGTCCCTTCATAATTCTGAGTTCTGGGAGCCGGGAAGTCCTGTGGACAGGAAGTGAGAAACCTGATGGTTGGTGTGATTTATACAGAAATTCTTTTCTTCC